GGGGGGGGACCCCTGCTGAGGAGGCGGCTAACAGGTTATGCGTACCTGCTCCGCTACCAACTAGCAGAGGGAAACGCGCAAGGCACCTGGCAGTCTCCGTGTTCCCTTCTGTTACTGGGGCTCGGGTCATTCAGAACACACTCGACAAACATTTGCAAATGAATGAATGAATGAATGAATGAATGAATGAATGAATGAATGAATGAATGAATGAATGACTGAGGAAGGTAGCAGGTTTGAAAGATCCTGGAGAGGGCTTGGGACTGGTCTGGACAGTCTGGGGTTCCCTGGAGTGGGACGGGCTGCCAGGGCCATGAGGGTTGAGAGGGGCAGCAGGCCCGGAGGACCTATGCAGGGGATGTCTGGGCACCATTGAGGAGTGTGTGAGAATTTCTCGGGGGGCACACCACGTGAGAAACGTGGCTCCTTGGGTGTACTGGTGGACATATTTCATGCCCAGAGGCAACACTGCCTTTCTGGGACTTTGGTTCAAATGCAGGGTCCTCAAGTAGAGATTTCAGAAGAGCTTCGTGAATTATAAAATAAGTCTCTAGCAAAGGTTCCTCACTTCTGAGGACTCCCTGCAGTGTTGCAAAGGGTCCCTTTCACTTAGGCATTTATTATGCCTATTACTCTCAGCTCTCCTCCGGTGCATGTCTGTCTGTGAGAGCCTAGCATCATGCGTGGTATATGAGGGCATACAGTAAATATTAGTTCTTTTTTTCTCCTGTTTTAAGAATTTATATTTCCAAGCCCAAGTTAATCAGTGAATTGCACCTGGGCTAGACTTGTGGGCTTCTGTACACTCATATCAGGGATTCCCCACCCGAGGGCCACTCAGGGCAGAGGTTTGGCCTGCTGCAGATTGAGCCCTTCTGAAATCCCTTGGACAAGACTTGGCGTAAAGGCACCTTTGAGAAGCACCAGGTCAAGTTAGTGACTCTGCTCTTCTGCTTGACCAGGGGTGTGTGTGTGCGTGTGTGTATGTGTGTAAGTGTGTGTGTGTATGTATGGTGGTACTCACTAGTTTTGAGAGCTTTTGGAGGGTGGGGAGAGGTGGTGGTGGGGGGAGGCTCACTATTAGGCAGACCTCCAGGACTTTTACAAAAACAAGGAATAACAGTATCCTGTAAGAGGAATGGATCTCCGTAGTGAGTAGGATGTCATCTTCAGATGGCATAGCACAGATGGCCAGTCTGGTTCCATTTGAGGAAAGAGATGAACTGAGTGGATCACTTAGTAAAAGGCAAGGTACCTGCTGCCTGGGCATCCCCACCTTCTTAGGAACCAAAACCTACAGAAAAAATAAGTAGAATAAGGCCAAGAGCTTGGAGCCTGAATTTGCTAGCCTACAGTGAACCTATATGCAAAGGAGGAACTAGATCCTGCATCGAGAGGACTTCTAGGAAAGAACATGCCTTCGTCTTTGTTCAGTTGACAGGTGCTACAGTTCTGTTGGGGAAACTCCGCACTGACCTGTTTCAGCACCTTCCCAGCTCTGTCTTGCTGGGACATCCTGGGACAAAAAATGCTGCAGTTTTAAAAGGGCTAGACTCACCTGTGTTCACAGTTGGGGATTAGGCCCATTACTGTGTTTCTATTTTCAAATAAAAATAGTTATTTTCCTGATCATAAAGAGTTACCTACTCATTGCAGAAAATTATGCAATACAAGAAACATCTTAAGATGATAATGCTCACCTGAAATGAAACACTTTTGTGAACATTCTTTCAGTAACACATTCTGGGCGCATACCCTCATAGAAACATTTTAATGGGATTACACACATAATCTGCTTTCCTTAAAACAATTAGTTGTGTAGATCATCCTATACTAATGACTAAGTCAAAATCATCATGCGATTGGCCAACTAATCTTGCTGCATCAGAGTCTCCCAGAGTTCCAAGCAGTGGCCAGATTTTTGTGCTTCTGGGGTGGGATGATTTTTGAAGAGAAAGGGAGTCAGCTAAGTCACCAAGATGAGAAATTTAAAGCAGGTCTGGCATCTTTATCTGTCCTCAGTCCTCATCTTGCCCAATCCCTCTTGCCTCCTCAGCTATTACTACCAGTTTTTACCAGTCTCTCTTCCTTTTCTTCAAGAGCTGCCTCCCGCAAGGCCCAGACAGGCACTGCTCAGCTTCTTGGGGATGTTTATTTGGTCATGCAAGAAATAAAACCAGCCCTTCACCACCTGAAAGGACCTTTTGGCTACTGCCTCTGGCCCAGAGGGATCTAACTTTCCATTTCTGCTTGGTTCTTCATTTTTTTCTAGCATTTCTACACAGCGACCTCTCTAATCCTTTTTGTTACTCTTGGCAAAACTGGTTACTCTAACCCTAATGTACAGCTTGTGGCTTTCAAAGTCAGCATTTCCCCAGTGAGGTTTTCTCAACCCTAGAGCTCAGTGCTTCCCTCTGCTCTGCTCAGTGGCCACTTTTCTGTGGTCGTCTGTTTTCCTTCTTCTGTTTTGACATCTAGGCTCAGGCAGTCAAGTATCTCTTGTGTGACTTCCTCTTGACCTGGGTACCAAGGGTGTAGGAAAGAGGCAATGGAGGGTCAGCCCCGAGGAACCTGCAGCCTGGTGGACACCTGAGCCCAAGGGGATACCTGTAGGAGCTCTTGAAAAGAAACAGGAAAACAAACACAAAATAATAATAATACTTTCCATCTGCCTTCTAGCCTTTTCACACGCATTATTTTCCTCAGCGCAGGCCATATGTAACGATCAGAATGTGGAGTGGTGGTGGGACCCGGAGTCGGGCGGGTTCCAGAGAGGCTTCATCTCAATCTGGTCTGTGGCCCTTGAGAGGTCATCTTGCTTGGTTTCATTTGTTAATTCTCCATCAAATGCTCCTACTATGTGTCAGGACCACATCTTTTCCCTGAATTATATACAGAACTCTCACAATTCCTTCTACCTTTCCCAGTTATTCCCATTGCTTAGCTTCGATCCCTCCTATTGCAGTTTCTGTTCATTTCCTCTTACTCTGCTTTCAGTGGAAAGGGGAGCAGTTGCTCTCTACTCACATTGAGTCTTTTATTACGCCTCCTTGGGACCGCAATATTTGCCTTTTAATAAATCTGAGCTTTTCTGCTCTGCTCTATTGGAGCGGACTGAGTCTTCCAAGGGAGGTTCCCTGTGTAGGCCTGTTGTCAGCTGTGCCAGGCAGTGAGGGACAGGACATACAACAGTGCTCCTGTATGGAACAGAGCCAGCTGGAGAGTAATTGCCCAAATAGTGTGAAAGCCTGATACAGGTGGAATTGGTGCTGGGATGTCTCGGTCATGGCAGATGAGAGAGAGCTTTCAAAACACACTGTGCAGCCTGGTCAGGTGTGGCTCAGTGGTTGATCTACCTAGGATCCAGGAGATCGTGATTCAGTTCCCAGTCAGGGCACATGTCTGGGTTGTGGGCTCGATCCCCAGTTGGGGGTGTGCAGGAGGCAGCAGATCAATGATGACTCCCTCATCATTGATGTTTCTCTCTCCCTCTCTCTCTCCCTCTCCCTCTCCCTCTCTTTCTCTGAAATCAATAAAGATATATTTTAAAAATCACACAAAAAACACACTGTGCAGTGTTTAGTGACCTGGAATGCATAGTCCAGTTCCTGTCCACCTTGTCCCCTTGACAGCTGCTGATTCCCAGGATTGGGAGACCCAGTGTGTGTAGCCCCTTCTTGGGAGACATCCCAGCCTAGAGAACTGTGGGAGATGTAGGCTCCTGCAAAGTGAGAGTCAAATCAGCTTTGGATTAAGCCTAGGGTCGTCCCTCAGTCTTCACAGAAGCCACCTTCTGGAGACAGACTTCTTTTCTGGGGCTTGAGCTAAAGCTGGATGAACTCTGGGAATGAGGTTATATTAGTCAGGGTTCCTGGTTATAAGCAGCAGAACCAAAACTCTCATTTAAGGATTTTGGAAAGCTGATGGATTTTACACCAAGGCTGGGAAATTAGGCTTGGAAAATGGGAACAAAGGGAGAAGTTGCAGCTAGAACAGAGGCCAAAATCACAATCCAGCAAGGACTGTTGGTGCTGCGTTGCACCCCAATGCTGGCAGCTTTGGCTGTGGGGTGCTGCTGCTGGTGTCCTTCTGAGCATCGCCACAGATACTGGGTATGGCTGCTACTGTGGCCTTTGCCAGAAAGATTTTTGGTGTCCTCCTTCCTTCATCACTAGTTCCCTAGCCCTTGCCTGGCTTGGGTGCTCAGATTGGCTTTGCCCATGCTTGGAGGGCCACTATCTGGTGTCTTCAGCTTTGCTAGTCAGAGATAAGCCGTGTCTCCCACAACTCATTGATGGGAACTTTCCAAACATAGGAAGACGCTGGGTGGGTAAACTGATTAATGCACACTGAGGGCCCTGGGAATGAAAGCGCATGGTGGAGGTTGTGATGGGTTTGTCTGAGTGTAGCTGGCAATCAGTCCTCACTCGTCTCCTGAAGTTCATTATGCAGCAGCCAGGTGCCCGGCAGCGGGCAAAGTGCTTTTCTTTCCTTAACGTCTTCTGGTCTCCGCTATAACCTTGTGAGATTGGGGAGATTTGAAGGAGCTCAGTTAGTATTGTGGGGGGCTTGGAGCTCATGCTGAGAATATTGAAATGAAGAGGACATTGTACGTTTCTGGGGAGACAAGTTGAAGTGGCCTCACAAGAGAGTGTCCTTATGGGAAATTGGGACTGGGACAACGATGAGGTCATCCTCCTGCCTTCTTTGTTTCCTTCCTTCTTTCTTCCATATGGCATGATGACTTGGCCTTCTTCAGCTCAGGGAATACAGAAATGTTCCTTCTCATTGAGCTGGTGTGCTTGGCCTCTACTCAGAGAACCCTCTCCTTCTTTGGGGTACTTCTACATTTCAGGGTCTACCCAGGTGCTTTCCCCCAGTGGCTTTTCCATGTGTACCCCTACCTACCCGGGCATGGGCTGACAAAGGGCTCACCTTGCCAAGGGTCCAGATGGTGCTCAGTAATGGCTCAAACTTTTTGCCTCTCCCTGCAGTCATTAAGCACACCTGGCGGCCCGAGCTCCTCTTCTACTACTTCCAACAGGTCAAGGAATAGGACTCGCTATCGGACCAAAGCTATTAGCTCCGAGGTAGATGAGAGCCTCTTCAGAGGTAACAAGGTAAGCCTAACCCAGCCCCTCCAGGCAGCTGCCATCTGGAGGCAGTGACTGGACTAAGGCTACTCAGGACAAAGCTAGCACTGGGCATGTCACCCCTCTCCCTGGTAACTCTCAGATGAAGACAGAGGGGAGTTCTGAGAGCCAGCAGTGGAGCTCTGACATCTAGGGGGTCCAAATAAATAGGACACCTGGCTTCCTCCACCCATTCAGTCCTCATGCCTGTACAGCATTGAAACTCTGTTGTAACATTGAAGGGAAGGCTCATCTGCAGAAAGCTGGATAGTTGTTCGGTGAACACTCCTTGAAGAAAACATTTTAGGGCCGTTGGACTAAGCTTGAAGACACAGAGCAACATATTTCCACTCCTATCCAAGAGCAGCATCAGAATAGAACACAGTCATCCTCCTTTCCCAGATGCTCAACTAAAACAATTTCTTAGCTCTGGGAAACAAGTAGGTCTTTATTTGCAAATGTTGTCCTAAGAGGGTGACAACTCCTTTCGTCTAAGGAGAGCTGGAATGTTACTTGCAGTCATCTTGGTACACATGGAGTTCAGTAGGTGATAAAAAAGAGAGGCAAGTCTAGAAAGAGAATGAGACATGGAGAGAAGGGCAGCAAGAGATTAAGAGAGAAAAAAGAGATAGAAGGTGTCAGTGGTGGCCTGAATACTGGTGTGACTCCTGGCAGAGGGAGGGTTGGGAGAGGAGAGGTGACATCTATCCCTGCTCCTCACTAGCCTCACTGTGAAAGGATTTTTCAGAGGGTTCAAGCCAGGCATCTTTCTGCATTTAGATAACCCCTATTCTGTAGGAGTTTCCCTATTGACAAGGGAAAGAATCCAAGGGATGCAATTTTACTTACATTTTTTTTAGTTTTGGGCCCATGGGGACTCTTCCAGGCAAAGCAAAGATAGATTTGGAAATGGCTGAGTTCTCTGAGTAGTCCTGCTGGCTAGCAAAAGGGACGGTCAGAAAAATGCCTGCCTGACACGATTCCTTTAGCTTTATCGCTGGGTGAGAGCCAAGAAGTCTCTCAACCAGCAGTAGGGGGCAGAAGGGGCCTGTGGCATGACTGACTTATGCCACTTGGAAGCTGAACTGGGCACCAGGCGGCAGCAGCAGTCTGGGGCCTCTGTGCAAAGTGAGGTTCTCAGGGCAGGAAGGACCTCCATTGAGGCCATGCCCCTGCCTTCACTCAGGACCACAGTTACTGCATTAACGATAAATGAAAATTTCTCCGGTGTTCAAAAATTTCCTTAAATAAGTGATTTCATTTTCTTATTAACTCCTTCATGGTCAGGAAAAAAAAATCATACATATCTAATTTGTATTCTTGCTGAATTCTAACTCTGACTTTCTCACCACATCAGATTTAATGTCAGGTCCCCACCAGGCCATTTAGCCATTTCTAACACCCCCCAGATAGCTTTGTTTGGGGATCAAAGTAAATTAATCATTACAAGGGATTAAAAAATGTGAATATCATGAATCGTATGAGTCTGTAACAAACTGTATTTCTTCAAGCCCACAGTGTGGTCGAAGGGAGAGTATTACTCCTTTTATAAATCATGGAGAGAGGAGAATCTAGAGCCTACAATTTTTATTCTGATGGGTTTTGGTTGGTTATGGACACACACTAGCAGCCCCCACTTCCTACCCACCCAGGAGGATCTGCACAAGTTATAGAGAGGCCTTGTTCTCAGGAGAGCTGGTCAGTACAGAATACATCTGGCCATGTTCGAGGGCAGAGCACCACACTACTTTCTCAGTGCCCTGGCTATTCTACGGGGGCCCTGCAGCCTGGGCCCTGGCCAGCCTCCCCTGCCCCTGGAAACCCTAGGAGAGGGCAAGTCTACACTTGAAGTTAGGACTGACCTGCAGGAAGTGAGGCGACTAGCTTCTAAGTTGTCCTTGCTGAACCCATAGCCCCTGGCCCGGAGTGACAGCCCCATCGTGCTGCTCCGAGACAAACATGCCATTCGGAAAACTTTCACTGCTTTGGGCTTGGACCACAAGCCGGAGACCATCCAGCTCATCACCCGGGACATAGTTCGAGAACTCATGTGAGTATGCAGGGCCCATGCCCTGCCCGCCTGTCCCAGCTTGCATTCTGCTGGGGACTTGTGCGGGGAAACCCACCTGGTTTCACTGTCAGTCACGTCTCCACTTCTTTCGTATTCATTTCCCCCATCTGTTTCATGGCTCTCTTTCTTTTTTGCTCATCCTGGCCTCTGTCCCCGCGCCCCCTCTGGGTCTATTACTTCCATTACCCTTGATTCCCAGCTTTTCTCTGCCCTCTCTTCTGCCAGCTGTGGACCCTAAGGGACTGGTAGAGGGGAGGCGCTTCTCGGGTCCTCCCTGAGCTCCTATTAGTGCACTTGGTAAAGTTAATGGTCCAGATGAATCACTTCCTTTTGGCTGCATCAGGAATCCAAGCGAAGGGAAACTGACCAGATGCCTAATTAGGCCCTTGGCATCTCCCCAGGCTCAGAGGCCAAAAGAGGAAATTCCCACAGGCTCTTGGGTTCTTTTGGGATTAGGTCAGCGCAGCTTCCCAGCCGGAGCCGCCCCCTGGCTTGGCCCCTGCTGTGGGGTTTAGGCCTCACTCAGCAACGTGAAATGAGCCGACACTGTTGCCCGGTGGTTGAGCCCTTGTGGTAGCGTTTCATTCTCTGAAACCATCCTTTCTACCCCGGCCCCACCCCCAAAAGCTGGGATTTCTAGAAAATGCTGCCTGTTTCATGAGCTGAGGAGCCACAGCTGGGACACCGATCTAGGAGTGCTGTCTGGTCAGTCCTGGCATCAAATGGCCAGACGTGGTCAGCAGCCCCCTGGCTACACCTGGGACCCAAGAAATGGTTCCTTTCTGGAGGGGTCGAGTTCTGAAGAGACACTGGAGATGGAGTGGCTGGTTTCTTGTCGGGGCTGCTGAAAGCCCCAGAGATGCTGTCTCATTCAGATTATTCAGATTCCAGGCTGGTCATTTTGGATTCCAGGCTGTTGTGGGCCACGCCACTCAGCGACCCAGGAGATCTTGGCTAAGCCCCAAATCCACTCACTCATTCGCTCCACCTCCTGGACCCCCCCCCCCC